CTGGGGGATGGCCTCAGGGGAGGCCTGCCCCGACTCACTTCCACCTTCCTGCTCACCTCGGAATTGTAATTCATTTACCAAGTGCCAACGTGGTAGACTAGATCAAGGGAGGAACACCAGTTCATGGGACCACAACGGGGCTTAACAAAAAGCAAATTTTTCTGAAATGTATCTTTCAACATGTCAAGCTCTATTCTATTTAAGACAGGCCTACCACTGGCATTGGGCCCCGTGCTGCCTGGAGGACATGGGGTCTGTTGTTTTGTTGTTCTCTCTTCTCTTTTGAAAAGTCAATAAATTACAAGTAAAGCCTTCATGAAAAAAAAGGGGGGGCAAATTTTTCCTTAAGGCCATGACCTACTTGAATCCCATTAATTCTCCCCAAAATAAGGTAGGAAATGTAGCCCATAAGCATGGAAGTTCTGTTCCCAAGACCTCTGTCTCGGCCCTATCTACTCCCCTGACTGAGCGTGTGCTGAGAAAAGGAAAACAAACGCACATGGAAGCCTCTGAAAGCGCCGAAGGGCTCCCCATGTTATCTACTGGGAGCCGAGGGAGGGAAAAGGTCAAAGAAGCTGAAAGGAAGGTCTGAGGGGTCTAGGGAAGCTCACACGATACAACCCCAAAGGCAGATGGGGATGGAAAGTGCGAGGGAACCACAGCAGCGGCAGCGCCAGGCCCTGGGGTCTGGGGGCCTCCGTGCACGTTAGCAAGGGCTCTGCCCCGCCCCCTCATGCCCCCTCCATTCATTCGCGTTTCCCTGGACCCCACGCTGTTTAACAGCCGAACGAAGGAAAATACCCCCCAAAGCCATACACACAAGAGGCTCGTTTGGAATTGTCCCTGGAGATGCAGAAAACGTAGAATTGTCTCTAGAAGACGTAAGCCCTTATGTTTCCCCTTAGTCTTAAGTGTTCTTAGTTTAGTTTTAGTTTAGTTTAGTTTTGTTTTTTTAAAAGAAAGCTTTTCCTGGCTGAGATTATTCCTTAACAGGAAACTTTTCTTCCAGCTGAATGACCATCTGCTCCCATTGGAACCAGCGGATTACAGAAGTTCTGGAAACTCAGCATTTAGAACCCTCACCTGCTGCACATGCGCAAATCCTCAGTCTATGTTATCAGAGCAGCACAGGGCCCTTCAGTTGGCCCCATCCGGATCCCTCCCCGACTGATGAGATTTTTTTAGAGAGCTAATAGGAAACATTTCACCAAGATGCTACACACCCAAGAGGCGGGTGGAGGCTGATAAGCCCTAGTCAGTTTGTGGTGTCAGAGAGCAGGAAACTGCAGCCTGACAGGCAGCGCCTCAGCCCTGAGCTGGAAGGGACGCCGGTGCAGGGGAATAACCTGCCTCGCATCTGGGATCCTCAGAGCCAACGGCGAGGCTCCAGCAGGCAGCTGCTCCGCTCACAGGACGCCCCCATGTCTCAGGACTAACCTCACTCGGCTGGACCACCGCAGGCTGAGTGGGAGGTTATGCAACTATCTGGACTTACTGCCAGGAGGCATGAACGATGCATGAAGGAAACAATGCCCAGTCCAAGAAGGAGAAGAAAGGTGGCGCTGTTTCTACCGCTGGGACACCCAAACACGACCCCCCACCTCCAGCGAGGGGCTCTGAGAAGCCTCCCGCCCTTACCTCCTCCCCTCCCATCGTCACAGCGCTGGGGTCACACACACAACCTTGGGGTGCTCATCCCAGGGTGTGGGTTTAGACAGCAAGGGGCTGCCAGGTGTGCAGTGGGAAGAGCCTACGGCTTGGAAATAACAGACCTAGATCTGAATCCAGGCTCTGCCTCCTCCCAACTACATGCCCTCCTGCAAAATGGGGATACCAGCCCATTACAGGGATTGCGGTAAAGATTGAAGGCAATGCAGATAAAGGGCTCATCATGTTACAATGATGCAGGCCTGCGAAACTGTACTAAGCCTTCCAAACAGTTCTCAGTCCCTGTTATGGGGGCACTGCCTTGCATGATGAGGGTGTACATGTTCTTTGTAGCTGAGTACTGTGCGATCTACTGAGGCACACACTAAAACAAGCAAATGCATTCTCCATCCCAGGGACAGAGGCCAGGCCCCAAGGCCAGCAGCTCAGTCTCTTACCATCATGTGACCACAGGCAAGTCAGGGAACATCTCCTGTTTCCTCGTTGGTAAAATGGAGACAATTGTGTTCATCTTGAAGGGTTGTCGCAAGAATTAAACTAATGTAGAGAAAGCAAAGTCCTGACACAGCGCCTGCCACTCAGAAGGTCCTTTACAGCTGCAGAAAAGGAATTGCTCAAAATGCCCTCATGTCACATAAAAACCCTCTCTGCTCCTGGGGTCACACACCCCATACGCAATGTGCAATCTCGAATCTAAGGCTCTTCCTACGTGCAGACGTAGCACTGTCTACACTTTCTGGAAATGCCTGTGGGGCCTTAGTGCCCGGTGACCGGTCAGGCACAGGCGTTCTCCTCTCCCCCATCACACCCCTGTCTCCTCCCCTGGTCCCACCTCCGTTTGGAGCGTATTCAGCCTCTCCCTCTGGCTTCCTCACTTCTCTCCTAAGCCTGCAGAATTCCCTCTCTTTAATTCTTCACCTGCTTGGCTGCTATCAGCTCCCTTTCTCCACCGAAGCCTTTGGAACATCTGATTCTTGGGTAACTGGGTCTCCTCATGTCCTCCCTTAATCGCACAGGAGCCACAACCCTGCACCCCTGAAACTGCCCTGAAACTGCCTCTTTCTGCATAAGCCAATCTTCCTGCTACCAACACCTCAGCCTCTCGTCCTGAGGTCTCTAAGATGTAGTTTCCTCCTCCAAAAGCTTGACTTTGCTCTCCCCCTGCCTGGCCCCTCTTCCTCCTTTCCCCTCACAGCCCCTGACAACCCAGGTCCGCTCCAACTGGATGAGGGCCTCGCTGGCTCACACCTGCCACTCCCAGCCGCTCAAACGTTACCAGATGCTAAAGTGCACTTCTAGCTCCAGATCTCAGCCAACCTCCAGTCCTATCCAGGCACACCTTGGAGAGAGTGGGTTCGGGTCCAGACCACCGCACAAAGCGAGCACTGCAATCAGCGAGATGCAATCTTTCTGCGGGTGGAAGGCCTGGCCCGTAGTTTGTAAAAAACGCAACACCTGTGAAGGGCAAATAAACAAGCACACCTGTGCTTCTCACACCGCCTGGAAAGTGGTCCGTACGAACCTCACCTCCCCAGGCCTCAGGTCCAAAAATTTCACTTTTAATGCAGTACTTACAAGCACATTTGAATCATTTACATGGTTATTATAGAATAAAAATAATGAGGTCACTGATTTTGGTCTTGTTTCGTAAAATCGCAATTTTTATGCTTCCCATTGGATATCCTTCCCACCTGCCTTTCTCTCACCTGCTGGTCTGGAGGTGATTCACCCCCACTGAAGATAGAGAATTTGTTTCACTGGTTTTTGTGAAATATAACAATTAAAGTGCCGCTTGATTTCCCAAGCACTAAAATAATTTCAGAAACTTTAAAAAACTAATTTAAAAGTATTACCTCCCCAAATGAAAAATTTGTTTATTTCTGACTTGTTACAAGTAAATATTAAAGTTATAACGAGCCACAAAATTCTATTCTTGTGTAAGACAAGATATTCCTGATTAACAAATCTAATTTTATAGAAGTCAATTCAAATTGTATTGACTATTTACAGGTCTCTACCACAATGTAAAAATCTTCTGTGGTTCTGAATTCACTGACTGCTAACCATAGACTGTGGGTTTGTATCTTACCGACTACAGATGCAGACAGAGCAACTGCACTGCGCCCCTGACAATCTGCCCAGCTCAACGCGGCAGCCAGCGATTCCCCTTTCGGCCTGTTTCTCTGTGTCATCAAAGGTGGGATCTCTTCTAGGTGGTTGGTGACCCAGAGGAATTATCCCTTTTCTGTCTGCAGTTCCCATAGCCGCCCCTGGGGGCTGAGGCGGGGGTGGGGGAGGGGGGCGTGACTTAGGGACCACTGCACCTCACTTGCCTGAAGGTTCAAGTACCTGGAAGGAGGTTTTCTGGAGGACAAGTTTCAGGCCCTCCCTTTGCTTTGCCAAAGACAAATCCGCCTACTGGCTATTATTCTTTGCTGCAATGACAACTGTGCTCTAAGACAAACAACCTATTCTTAGGGGAAAACAATTAATTTCAGGCATCGGATGTGTTCCCCAACAGCCGTGTATTCACATGGGCTAGTCCTCGGATATCGGGCTTACACAAAACACGAAGACGTGCCGAGCACTGAATGAGTGCGCTGTATTTAACGGAATCTTCACTCCATCGCATTGCTTCCTCTTTGTGTGTTCTTTGAAGCTGGTGAAATCTTTCTAAGCAAAAAGATGATTAATTCCTCCGCTTGTCTTTAAAAACTATGCTCTCATGACAACCTCTTAGCCAATCCCCAAATCTAACTTGGAAAAAAACAAACAGGCAACGACAACACACTTTTAAGCAAGTTATTCCTGGGACTTTAGAGATTTACAGCCCCGGATGAGGTCAGTTTTACAGGGACATCTGAACAAAACTCATCTGTTTTGGACACCCCGCTAATCCTACATATAAGCATTTTTAGCAGTATACATGCTGAAATTTCTGTATGCCCCAGAACTCACAATATGGATCTAATTAGGTCCAGCTGCCTTATGTTAGTAATAAAACTGGAGAGAGAGAGAGAGAGAGAGAGAGGAGAGAGAGAGAGAGAGAGAGAGAGAGAGAGAGAGAGAGAGAGAGAGAGAGAGAGATGAGGGTAGGGGCTTTGTTCATTCCCTCCCGTGCCCTGGTGATCACGAGCAGGTCGTGCGCATCATCAACGCTCGCTCAGGGCAACACATGCTTCTTCACGACCCTGCGGCCCGGCCCCGCTCGCGCTGAAACTTTTCAGCTGCGGAGCTCGCACCCGCCGGGGAAGAGATTTACGCAGCGGCCGGAGCCCCACGCTCCGACCCCACCCCACCGCCCCCGCCCGCTCCCCGGCACCAGGACTCACACCAGCGCGGACGGGCAGGGCATCTGGTTCCAGGGGCAGTTGTACTGAGCCTGGATAAAACTCTCACTTCCCTCCTGCACAGAGCAGCTCACATTCTTGTTCACGATGTAGGCGCACCAATTCCTGGGGCGGAGAGAGCGGGAGAGGGGCGGTGTGTAAACCTGAGGCTGGGGGAGACGGACAAGCTGCTGCACCCGCAGATGGAGCCGGGGTGAGGGAGGCCGTGCTCCCCGCGGAGGCGGGAGCTCCACAAAGCCGACCTTGCGGAGGGGCGCGGGCGCGCCGTGGGAGAACCGGCACCTTTCCCCTAAAAGAGACGGGAAGGGGGAGCACCCGGCCCCAAGGACCCCAGCAAGTCCTGGGAGGGGTCTTCTGATCCCTCTGCTCTTCGGGACGCCTCTGCGCGCGCCCCGGGAGGCAGCACTGCTGGAGGCGCAGGCGAGGTCACCGGGACCCCGCGCGGACCACGGAGCGCACGGCCACCGGCAGGAGGCGCCCCCCAGGGGCAGCCCGCGGGGGACCCCGGCTGCGGCTCATCGCCTCTGGCAGGGCAGTTTCGGGCCTGGCCCAGGGCTTTGAGGGGTGGCCTCGCCGTCCTGGGGGCGAAAAGAGGGGCCCCGCACTTACTTGTTCCTGGCACCGGGCCGCGCGGGGCCGGCTTGGCACAGTCCCGCGCCGCCCAGGGCCAGCAGGGCCAGCGCCCAGCGCCAGGACGCGCGGGGCCGGGGCCGGGGCCGGGGCCGAGGCCACATTGTGCGCGCGGGGCGGGATCCGGAGCGCGGCGGGTCGCGGCGAGCGCGCGAGTGTGCGGGCGGCCGGGGCGCGGCCGGAGGAAGCAGGAGGCTCGGGCCCTTCGCGGCGCCCCCACCGCGCTCCGCGGCCGCCCCCTCCGGCTTCTCGCTACCACTTCTCCTTTTCCACCCCGTGGGCCCGCGCTTCTCCTCGGTCCCTCAATGACGCACAGGTCCCCCCGGGTGCCGCCCTCTATTTCACTTCCCTCTCCGAAACGTGACGCTCCCTTCACCACGACTCCCTGTCTCCAGTCCCCCGGCCGCTCAGCAGGGGGTTTGGGGTGAAAGGGCCAAAGGGCTTGGGAGAAGGGTCTGTGTTACAGAATTTCCAATTACTCATTCCTTTGGTCTCTTCCCAGCAGCCAGGCAACCCCGCCTCCCACCTTCCAGTAGGCGCGCCCCGGCCCCTCGGGAAGTGGCCGCAGCCGGCGCGGCGCAGTCCTCACGTCGAGCCTGGGTGCCGGCTTCCCAGGGTGAACGGGACACCGTTATCAGTCCTTTATCAGAGGCGACTCGCATTTCCTCTTCTGGCAAGATGCGGCCATTCCCCCGCATTTGGATTTAGGAGAGTTTAGGGGGAAATGAACGCGGATCCTCTTCTTTTTCTGCGCCCAACTCTGCCTCCTCCATCCATTTAACCGTTTCCAAGCCACCGTGAGGAGCAGCAGGGAACCGTGGAAGCCACCGCCCCTCCACCTCCCCAAAGCTTCTGAGTCGCATCACACTGACCTTTGAAAGGCAACCTCGGCCTCTGCTGCTGCGGTCCTCCTCTGAACTTGGTTTTTCTATCAACAGTAAACCCATTTACTCCACCACAGTCTCTTTGCTTCTTAACAGTTGAGACACGGCTAGCCAGCCATGTCTTGTCACCTGCCTGCATATTTTCTTCATATTCGTGAGTCACACTCATCTTTATCACTTTCTTTGGGGGATGAAGCAAACCCCCTGAATAATGTTACATAAAACCCAGACCAAAGGGTTGTGTTCTTCTATTTGAGTTTACCCACTGCATGGAATGAACACTAGAGTGAGGTTATTTGCGTAGGTTAACTGTAATGACTGTGAGCTGTTATTATGCTGTTGGCTGTGAGTTATGTGGACAATAATAAGGCTTTGCTGCGTTCCCTGGGCTACTAAATGAGGCCATTGGCCCGTTTCATTTCTAATATGTTTTGAGGGGGATGTTGGCCTTTTGATTTGCAAATGAGAGAACGTTCCCTAAGTAGAAACTTTGCAAGATCCAAGCAGAAATTATACCATGTAAGGACATAGTCTGTTTATGAACTTTCCAAGTGGTAGATCATGTCAATAAGGGACTGAAGTCATCCCAGCCTTCAAAAGAGCCACCCCAAGGGGAAAATAACAGAAAGGGACAAGAAGCTGCCTTGTATAACCAATCTGTATCTTTCTGTGTGGCTGCACTATTGTCCCCATCCTAACACGATTTCTGTTCACAAAGTGTCATAGGGAAGAAATGGAGCCCAGAAATGAAGGGCGGGGGGAATGGAGGAAACACACAGGTGTGTGTCTATCTAAAATTAACAGCTAACAATCACAACTTCAATACAGATAATTCTTAAACTTGAGAGTGAAGATGAACTGATCAGGTCAAATCTATTTTTTTCCATTGAATCGAAGTTAGAGTAGGAAGTCATATTCTAGTTCCAGAATTTGAGAACCAACTTCTCATTGAGAGGACCACATTTTTAATCAGCTATAAGTCAGTAAATAAATTTTATTCTGCGCATCTGTTCCCTGCTAGGCATTGTACAAAAATACTGAGGATTTGTACATGGCTCTGTGTTTATCGAGCTTCCGTGCGCTGCTGTGCAGTGAAGGGTATGACGTTTCTGATGCTCAGTCCATTACGTGAGCTCACAGTTATTACAGACAAGCTCACGTGTCCCCAGTGTGGGGCTGCTCTGGGAAGATGGAAGAAGACTCTTGGCTCTCAGGCCAAGACCCCAAGAGACTCTCTTCCCTTCCTCTTCTCTCGCCAGAGGAAGGGACACATCAAACTGAGAACCACAGAGCCCTCCAGGAGCTTCGTGAGGGTAGAGAGCTCACGCACCTTAGGAAACAGGCTAATGTGGGCAGGTCTTCTGGTCCCAGCCATAAGCAATAATGTGGACACAAATGGTAGGATGCTGGAAGTGTGGACTGCTCATCAGCCGCCCACTCCCTTAAGCCCCTGAAAACTCAGTTTGCTATAACAATCTAAAGGAATTCCTTCTGCTTTTAAATAAGAAGTGCCCCATAGTGACTTACACTCTTGATTGTGACCAACTTACCTAAAGCAAAAACACGAAGTAGAACTACTCCATAACCCATTCCCTCACTGTTGGTCATGCGAGGAGATGCTCATCGGGCTCTGAACTTGGGGGTACTTCTCGAGAAGCAGTGAGCCTGCCGGGCCCTGGGCCCCCAGGTGGAAGGAAGGCGATCCTCACAGAGACCGCAGGCAGGATGTCCCCCATCACCATGCTGTCATCTGGGCACAGACACTGGATCAAGATGAACAGATTTTGCATCTAGGATGTGCTCGAGCCTCCAAGACTTGCCTGGGTGTCCCACGCTTCTCCCTCATCTTTGCTTTGTCGACATAGGAAATGCCCAAACCTGATGACTCAAACTGATGACAACTGCTGGGAATCAAAATCTCAACGAATTGAGAAAATGCTCTGGAGAAGGGCAGTTTTATGCATTACAATGAAAGGGGGAGGCGTAGGGAGGATTACATGAAAGCCATTGGTGGTAGGTGAAGGCCGATGGAGAAAGCAAAGTGGGGAACCCTGGGATTGGATACAAGTAAAATGGAGAGACACATGCTTCTTTTACATTGGCGGGTACAGGATAGCTCATGAACATTACAGCACACAGAGAGGGCTGTTCAGGGAAACAATGCAGGTTCTGTGGTCTGCCCCTGGGTGTGGTGGGTGATTTCTAGCCCAGTTTCTTCCTCCCGCTCCCCAAGAGAAAGCACGTAGCTCAGCTCATTGTTTAGCAGCATTAATAACGCCACAAAAATAAATGCAGATCATCAGGCAACTCAACCATGAATATCTTCTTCCTTAAAAAGATGAAAGTAGTTACTAATTCCATATCCCCCAATTTTTTCCAGATGTTCCTTCGTTCTAAGGCTGCTCCCTATAACTAACTTTAAGCCAAATATTACATTTGAGAATTTATTGCTGTCACACTTATCATGATTCTGAACACTTTTTTTTCTTTATAAGAAATAACTGACAAAAATAGGCTCTAAGAATATGTTTGTTTCTTACCAAGAGAGCTATACTAGCTTAGGCAATAATTCTTCATCATTGCAAGCCACATCAAACTATGTTGTAGTTCATCATTTATTTATGGAATGAGAGTTGATTGTTCTGGAATCAACAAACTGTTTTATATAGGCAGAATGAGTGTGATGATTTTAAGTTAATCAATTTTAGCACAATCTTGGTTCATACTCATTAGAATAATATTCATGAGCAAATTAACTCTCTCCAGTATTTCAGGTTGTGCAGTTCTAAACAGTGGTTAAAGTATTTGAATCCAGTCAATTCTCATCATTTAGCATAGTATGTTCTATAAAGTTGCTGCAAACACTGAATTAGGGAATGCTATACATTGCTTCTAGGGGACATTCAGGGTAGTTCCTACAAACCTCTGGTCACAATGGTTTTGTCAACCAATCAATACGTAATCCTGTTTTATATGTGTTTCTTTTAAAGGCACCTTACTTAATATATATATTATTGGTTCATTAACATTGAACTCATGGCTAACACCACTGCAAGTCATACTTAACTAACATATTTTCTCCATGAGGCACATCACAACCTTCTTGTACTTAGAAACACTAGACAGCACTCAGCACTATGACTGAGGCCGTTTTAAACAGCAAAATGACTCACAAAGAGTACGAAAATGAAAAGGACGCCTGTTTATAGCATGGGAGCTAAAACAAGAAGGCAGAGCCTCGTCTTGCTGGACTTCAGCTGGGAACGTGCACATCGAGCAAGTCATGTTTCTCACACATCCACAGATGAGCATGAAGTGCTGCAGTGCTTGTTGCTTTTGGAGTTACACATAAATTTAGCGAGTAGGCTAATTCACAAACACAGTCTACGAATAATGAGAATCAACTGTATTTCAACTTAAGTCTGGAAACAATAAGAAAATGGTATATTTGGGGAGATAAGAAGTTCTTGAGGTTTTGTGGCCATCCAAAGATTTGTTTCGTTGGGAGCATATTGAGGAAGTTTTGCATATTGAACACTATCCCAGGCAATATGGAAGCCAGAGAAAAACAGATTTAGCTTTTTATTATCTTCATTGACTGGGAAGCAAGGCACACATGTTTGAAATGACTTCAGAACATGTACAAAGTTACATTTAGTAAATAGAATATACAGCATTGTCCACGGAACAGACTGACAGCTGTCGAGGGTAGGGGAGAGGGGTGACTGGATGAAAGAAGGTGAAGGGATTAGCCAAAGAACTTATATGCAAAACCCACAGACACAGACAACAGTGCAGTGATGGCCAGAGGGAAGGGAGTTTGGGGGGGCCGGGGGACGGGGAGAAGGTGGGCAAAGAGGGGAAAAATGGCAGCATCTGTAACAGTGTAAACAATAAAAATAAAGTCACAAATAAAGAATATAGCATTGTACAAACAGTGTATCTTGGTATGATGAAGAGAGAGAGATTGAGGCAATCAGAAAAGTTGAACATTAATTGGAAAAGGCTGTGGAGAAGTGTTTTTATTCTTTTGTTTTGCTTAAAATCAGCTGATATGAAAAATGAATGTGATCGCGAGAGGAAGTGATTGCAGTTGTGACCTGTGCACTGTATGTTTTTAATAAGCAAAGGCAGGAGCTAGCCCGTAGGTTAGCTAAAGCAGGTGGTCTTTGAAGGATGTAGATGAGGCAGAACCAGGTAGGACTGAGGAGTCATGAACATGACAAACGGGTGCAGGACGTTTCACTGTTAAAGGGTCCAGTACAGGCGAGTGGAGAAAAACAAGCTCTGGTTTGTTGTTTGTTTTTATCCCCTTATCTGAAAGTAGGTGGGCCGTCCAGATACCCTGATTTGCCCGGGCCAGTCCCAGGTCACTCCGTTGTGGGTCAGTTAACATTGCTCATTCTTTTTAGTGTCTCC